GTCAGGGAAAGCTTTCCTGAGAAAGTAATCTTTATTCAAAGAGCATCTTTTCCTCCCTTGCATAAAAAAAGCCATTGAAAAGAATTGAAGATTATTTTTTTAGTAGAATTTTAAAAACAGTGGTTTCTTTTTTTAAACTGATTTTCATACAAAGAAATAACAACATATGTTTGTAAAACTGTAAGTGTATCCTGAACTGGGAAAGATCCTCTGGTGATGATACTCTATAAATTAGATGAGATAAATTATTTAAATGAGCCATTTTAAAAATTAACCAAAAGAAAAAAATTCTTGTATTTTTGAAGTGGGAAACCAGATAAGAGTACTATTATATAAATAATACTAGATGTGTTCGCTCTCTCTCCCCCCCTCCCTCCCCCCCCCACCTTGGATACAACGAAAGATTTGATTGCCCACATTTTGGGAGGCCAAAATGGGAGGTTCTATTGAGCCCAGGAATTCAAGACTAGCCTTGGCGACAGAGGAGACCCCATCTCTACAAGAAATAAAAATATTGGCTGGACATGGTGGTGTGTGCCTGTAATGGTGTGTGCCTGTAGTCCCAGTTACTCAGGAGGCTGAAGTGGGAGGATTGCTTGAGTCCAGGAGATTGAGGCTACGTTGAGCTGTGATCATGCCACTACATTCCAGCCTAAGCAACAGCAAGACCGTGTCTCAAAAAAAAATTTTTTTTTGATTATGTGCTGTTTAGTTTAAATATGGAAGCTGCTTTGATCACTTCAGGTCTGTTGTCATACTGTAGCAGAGATTAACATTTCTAAGTTCCTGTATCAGGAAATGAACATAGAGAAAAGTATGAAATCTTTATAGACCACATTTTGTAGTATCAAAGCTTTTGTGAAGTATTATGCATTCATAGATGGAATTATTTAAGATTTACCAACTAAATTTTAGACATATTTTTAAGTATAGAAATTAATGGTTTTTGTAATCTTTCCATGCATCAACTGATTTTATCAATTATTAATAACGAGTGCTTTCCATTTTTATAAGATGGGAACAGTGATTGTTTAGGCTGTATTTGGAAATATTTTTGTGTTCAATAGCATATTGTGGCTAAAAGGCTGGTGCAATAGATAATTCTGATAGTATTGCTCTGTCCTTCATGATGTATATCATCTCATGTATTTAAAAAATCTCATTTACCTTAGTGGCTATTAATAGAATTGAAGATCTTAATTAAGAGTCCTGGGAGCCATGTTTGACCCGTTTTGTTAGCATAGTAACTTTCTATCAATTTAGAATATGCAGCATAATAGTTGTATATTTAATGATCTCACTGATTTACTTCCTTTATATTTTAAAATTGAAATAGCATTCATTTGCCAGTCCCATTGGTTGATCCACTCCAGCTCCAACTTAACCATTGCTTGCTTGGTTTTTGTTCTTTTCCTGTCACTGCAACCACTCCCTTAGGCCATTTACCTTCAACCTGTGTTCTCCAGCCTGTTGGAAGTTACTACATTATTTTGCTTTGTTGTCTTCTATTCTGTCAGCCCTGTGAGTGCTCTGGTTTATGATATTTTTCCCTTTTGCTCTGTGAGCAACCATGCTTATTGGTATTCGAGAAGAAGTTTAAACTCCTAGTCAACTAACCTATTTCTTTCATTGGGACTCTATTTGATAGCTAAGCTACCTTCTACTTTTAAAACTACATGGATGAAAAAATACATAAAAACATTTTGCTATTCTAATTGCTGTAGGTTTTTTTTTTCTCTTTAAACTGTGGGGTTTCTGCCTAATTTATACTTATCTGGAAACTTCTGGTGTTTTAATATGGTTTCATTGGGGGGTGCCTGGCTGTCACCTTTCTAGACCTTTTTATTCTGTGTTTATCAAAGAGATCTTTATTCCAAGTTGTCTAAGTTATTGCTACTAGAAGTGTAGTCTGTAGGCCAGCAGCATCAGCATCACCTATTTGTTAGAAATTCAGAATCTCAAGTCCCACCCCCAAGACCTTATGCATGTTAATCTGCATTTTAGCAAGATCTCTACTTGTTTGATAAGAACATTGAAGTCTGCAAAGCACTGCTGTAGGTATCAGTCAACTAGATGATACATTGACATGCTAATAGTTGTACATTTCTAGAACCGATTTTAAACATATGACTTGTGATAATCTTATTTAAATATTTGTGAATTATCTCATAACTATTCACCTTGTTTCACCAAAAGTTATACTCTGGGTGGGTATTACTACTACTGTGTGAAAGGAATGACAGGAATAATCCCAAACAGTAAACTACCCCCAGTCCTTGAAGTGAAGTTTTGGTGTACAGTTGTATGTAATGTAAAACTGTGACAAACATTTTGCAAGTCTATTGTTCCTTCTCCCAGCATCAGTTTGCACCTGTAGATGAAGAACTATTATTCCCTTCTTGTCTCTTGGACAGTGACTTTTAAACAAAGTTGCTTTTGCTAAATTGAACCTCTAAGGTGTTGGGGAAAATATCTAATTTTTATCCTTAAATGAGAGAAATTATGCCTTACTGATACTTGATATGTGGATTAATAGTATATGCATATAATCCCAATAAGTACATATTGAGGATTCATGTCCAACTCTTGCTTGTATTTGAGGAAAAAAATTTATAGACTCCTATTTTCTGGTGCACTATGACAATCCCGGTCATTAGCAGTGGGAACAGCAAAAAGGTTAGGTTAGCGGGGTAAAAGACACTACGTGTAATTTACAAAGTTAATAAATTATGTGTAGTCATTTAGCGACACCATAAATATATTTCAAACTTAGATATATTTATATAGTGGTGCTTTAGGAAATAATTTTTTTAAAAAAAACTGCAGTGTTTTTACTTTTTGTTGTTCAAGAATGAGGAGAACTGGGAGAATGCAAAATTACTCTTTCATTCTCCTTTAGCATTCAAATGTAGTGTGAACAATGTAGCTGTTCCGCAAGCACATTTTAATTGGCATTTTTCTAGAGTAGTATTGTTTTAGGATGACAAACAATATTTAAGTGAGTATGTTTATAGGTTTTGATGCCTTCCTTTGTGTGCCTAAGAATGACAGTGGGAAGGGTGGCAGAGAGAACATCCAGATGTATGTGAGATAGTGATTTGTCACTTAGTATTCATTTTAAGTAGTAAAAGCAAATTCTATGGGCCAGGCGTGGTGGCTCAGGCCTGTAATTCCAGCGCTTTGGGAGGCCAAGGCTGGAGGATCTCTTGAGCCCAAGAGTTTGAGACCAGCCTGGGCAACATAGTGAGACCTCATCTCTTAAATTTTTTTTTAAAATTAGTTGGGTGTGGTGGTGCACTACTATAGTTCCAGCTACTCCTGGGAGGCTGAGGTGGGAGGATCACTTGAGCCCGGGAGGTTGAGGCTAGTCAGCAGTGATCACGCCACCACACTCTAGCCTGGGCAACAGAGCAAGGCCCTGTCTCCAAAAAAGAAAAAAAAGGTAAACTCTATGGGGTGACGTTAGCTAAGAGCCATCCTATTTCATATATAGGGTCTACTAAATGTGGCTGTATCAGGCAGGACTTACAGTTGTGGTTACCAGAGAACACTTGTGGTCATAAGTTGTGAATGTCACCCAGATTCTTCTTGAATGTCTATCTATCACATGTCTATCAGTAATTCTAAAGTATGTAAAAATGAAACAAAGATTTATTTGGGAGTTAGCACTCCCAGAAGATTAGTTTTAAAACAGAACAGCAGAAGGAGTTGTGACATGCATCTATAAGCAACTTTGTAATGATTTGACAGTTATTTAGCCCTCTATTCCTAGCCCTTTCATTGAACTGACAGCATGCCTGCAAAGATAGTGAGGCCTGTTCCAGTCGCACTAATGTCCTCTTAAATGGTAGCCTGCAGTCTGGGTAATGATAAATGTTCAGTGATTCATGATTTTTTTGAATCCTGAACAGGGGATTCTGGATGGTTTCTGGTTTCTGTGAGCCAGCGTAGTTTTGTCTCTTACTTGGGCTTCTTATACATTTGTTTGGTTTTTACCATGTCGGTTTTAAATTGGCAGAGATATATATGACCTGCAGTTTTAATTAATAGAGTTCAAAGCCTTCTTTAGAAACAATATGATTTTGGAAGAGATGCTGTACTTAAGAGTGTGTAAAAGTCTGAGAACCAGTCCAGGTTTCATTACATAGTAATTTTGTAACACTTGTTTTTGTTTGTAAATTTTACCTTTTTTCCCCTTTGCTTTAAAAAAAGTATGTTTTCAACTATAAGGAGAAATGTAATAACAGCTACTGTGAAAAGTAACATTAACTTTATTGTTTTTATGGTGTTTGTAATTTCTTTCTTAATAATTTAAATCAGCTATTTTTAATAATTGTTTTCTTTTTTACATGGCTCGGTTTCTGTAGGAATATATATTGTTATACTACAGTAGTATTAAAATGAGTATAAATAGACCTTTTTTGTTGAATATTTGCCATTTGGGAAAGGATTCATTTCTAGCATATTGATTGTGGATTAGTTTTAGTATTTTAAGTCAAACTTGTAATTGCCTAACCCTTTATTTTTAGGGTCTGGAGGAAGGGATTGAATAGGAGGATAAAGATAAGCATTTCCCTAATTTATTACAATTGAGAAATATATTTTCTTAATTCATTTTTAAAAAAAAATTTTCCATTGTACTTCCCTTTGGATGTAAAGTAATCTTAGAGGTAATTTTAGTAATAATTTACAGAATTCTTATAGCTCCCCATCCCATCAGAAAAGCTGATACTTTGAAAACATTGGTGCTCATGGTTAGTGTTTATTTATAGAAACCCACTTTGCTTTACGATCATTGGGAAAATGTTTTTTGACATTAACATCTTAAAAGGAATAAAAGAAGCACTTCTGCTGTTAGCTTTTCAAATAATGAACAAGAAACTTGGTTAGAGATGACCATGTGTAAGTAAGTCTGTATATTAATTAGGTGAGTGTCATTATGCTCAATTAGCGGGACTGCCAAATAATCTCTTTAATACTCTGATCTTTTTTCCCCCTAGGGTTTTACAGACAGCCCTCATTACAGTGATCACTTGAACGACAGTCGATTAGGAGCCCATGAAGGCTTGTCCCCAACACCTTTCATGAACTCAAATCTGATGGGTAAGTTGGTAATTCTCTGCAAGTAGTCTTCTCAAAGCTTCTTTGGTCAGAGACATTTTTTATCCCTTTGTCCAGGAGGGACAGGTAAGTATCTAGAAGAAAGTTCTTGAGTTTCTAGCGGCATTTAGGGCTTTTCTTGTTCAGCACAGCTTGAGGATCAAACGTCCAGAAAATTTGGAGTCTTCTCTTAAAGCATTATTGTTTTGGTGTCAAAAAAGGAAGTGGCAGTGTTTTGATTGTCAGTTTTGACAATGTCTTTGTGACCTCAAGCATTACATGTGTTCTGGGGCAGAGAAGTATTGTTTTAGGGGCATTTGTGATGTTACTATTTCTCTTAACAGTAGTATTATGTTGTAATTAAAAATGTAACATAGCAGTGATTTTAGGCAGATTTTACTTGCATTGGACAGTATTTCTCCTGGCACAATTTGATTAAAACATAGTACATTTAGATATTGCAGCATTGTTTTAAGCACTTGGCTTCATACTAGGACTTTTTAAAAGTTTTGGTTTGAAGAAGTGAAGTTGCACTTTCAAGAAGGGTATGAATTACCATCTAAACCTGATTTTTATGTTTTGGCAAAACCTTTGTGGTTAATCATGCTCTGCAAAACACCCCTCCTTTCCTTTCTCCTTCTCTGTCTCAAATGAAAGTTTAAAGTTGTTCAGTCTAAAATTATAAACCCAAGCGTGTTTTTTTTCAGTTTGAATACCGTTTTTTAAATGTGTAAATATTTTACCTTTTTGCAAACCCTGATTGAAAATAATCCGTATGTTTTATGACATTTTTTTCTTGCGTATGCTGGGGCTGAGCATATTACAAAAACTTTCATCTGTTTTACCAGTTATAACTGTTTTACCAGTTATTGGCATCATATAAATATTGAAAGTTTGTGTAATAGACATTGATTTCATTACTTATTTTATTTCTTAAGGACATGACCTATATTGTGATCTTAGAATCATCCTTTTAAGACACAGCCATACTAATCTAAGTAGATTACCCAAATCCCAAATCCTGGTGGTCTGCAATTTCTGTAAAATGATTTGCTTTGCACAGTCTTTGTTTCCTTTATTCTCTGTAGTGTTGAGGAGACAGAGTCTGATCGTCTAGTGTGGATTTTGCCTAAGGTGGTTGACAGTTTGAAGCCAGAAGAACCATTAGAGTATGACAGAAGAGTGAAAAAAATCTAATCAGCAATGAAACTTGTGTTGAAAATCACGGTATTAAATGTGTTATCATTCCAGATAAAAAATCAGAGTTAGGTTTATAGTAAATTATTTGCGTAGGGAAAACTTTCTAATTTATTTTTTAAAGTTTTAATTCAGCTTGCCATCAAAGTAAAATCCATGTAACACTCCAAATAATTTCCTTTTGGAGTATAACTTTTCCCCAAGTAGGATTTAATTTATATTAAGTGTAGTAGGGCAAGTAAAAGTCAATGTTTTTGTAATTTTGGATTAAACTAAGCTTTCTTAATTGAGAATATAACTCTGAACTGTAAAAAATCAGAAATTGCTCTTTTTGTATTTATGTTCTTACCTTTATTCTTCACTCATAGAGATGACTTTTAGGCCCAATGGAATTTCATCATTAGCACAGCTTTGTGCCAAGATGACGATTAAAATTTTGTACAGGACAAGTGTGGAAATTAAATGAATACTAAGAGGTATATATGTCAGTCACTTGCTCTGAGCAGATGTTGACTAACAATATTTCTGTAATTCACTTTGAGGTAACATTTTCTCAGTTGGAGCAATTACAAGCATGTGCTTGTTGGTTTCTTTAGTTTTCAGATGATTTTTAGAATACTTTTAATAGTCATCCATACCCTGTGTATAAAATCAACATCTAAAAAAAGTCTTGAAGTAAATAATTATTTGTAAGTAGATTGATCTCTTAACAATTCAAATGAAAAATTCTGCATTCATCTGAACTACATTGTTTAGGTACTACTTTGTATCAGATGCAGATATACAAACCATACATTTTCTTTTCTTATTTTCGAGACAGGGTCTCACTCTGTCACCCAAGCTAGAGTGCAGTCACATGATGATGGCTCACTACAGCCTTGAACTCCTGAGCTCAAGCTGTCCTCCTTCCTTAGCACAACACCAGCTACTTTTTTTGTTTTTTATTTTGTAGAGATGAGGCCTCACTGTGTTGACCAGACTGGTTTTGAACTCCTGGCCTCAAGTGATCCTCCTGCACCAGCCTCCCAAAATGTTGCAATTATAGGTATGAGCCACCATGTCTGGCCCAGACCATACGTTTTATTTGTGAGTTTTAACTACCTAATGTAAAAATACTTACTTATATATAAAAGAAGGAGAGAGAACCCTGAAATGATTAAGCAGATAGGTTCAAAAGAAATTCACTGGTCATTGGCAATATCTGATATACTTCACTTATCTTTATTTTCAGTAAAAATGATCAAATGAGATACCTTAGTCTAACAACAGTGTAAACAATCTGCACAACAATAGCTTGCTTTTGGAAATGAATGCCTCTTAAATCACAATGCAGTTCCATATAGCAACAGGCAGTCCAACTCGATATGAGCTGAAGTAACTGAACTGACACCCAAACATGTGGGTTTATAGCAATATGTAGAATTACAATGTATAGACTGACTTTTCTGGCTGTTTGATAATTTAAGGGAGTTTCTGGCTGAAAAACCTAAATTGTTAAAGTTCTGCTGAGATGTGTATGGTAGTATTCGAAGCATTTGGAACTGTTGATACCCAGTCATCTCTACAGGTAACAGTTGAGAGTGGTGCTGTGAATGATGAATGTTCAGAAACAGTTAAAACTAAAAGGAAAGCAGTAACATTTCATGTTGCTGTCAACATATAAAAACACCATTAAGTAGGGGAGGGATTGTAGATCTAGGGAATGTTGTTATTTTGAGTATTATGTTCAGCCATAAGCACATTTGCCTGAAGAAATTGTGGATTATAAAGCACCACTGTCTTCTGTGATAGAGCTTCCAGGCACTTTAATGATTTTGTACATTGCAAAAATGTGAAATTTTGTCTAACAAGGGTTGATAACAATTCAGTAATGAACTATTTGTGACAAAAAGTGTGTTTATATATTCATGTAGATATTTTGAAGTGTTTTATGCTGAATCAGTTAATGTTTCTTTTATGAATTGCAGAATTCTCCTGTGGATATGTCAATATGGGAAAGAGGGCTTTTCTTATGTTTCAAGTGAAATAAGTACATCTTTTTGACACATCACTAGGTAATTAGCATCAAGCAATTCTGTACTCTGTAATATTACAACTAGATGAAAAGCTTTGACCATAGCAGTGAATCCCATGGTCAGTTCAAGTCTACTATCACCAAGTAGCCTTGTCTATCTCAAGCTTCTTCTGGCTCTGGTCCATTTCTCCACCCTTGATTCTCTCGTTAATTTCAGTAATATTTGTTTTCCTTTACCTATTCATAATTAGTCATATTTTTGATGATGGCAGGATCAGTTTACTGGTTGAACTTAGAAACAAATTATTCTCACAGAATTACCTGCCTTCCATCCCCAAGTGATTGTGTAATAAACTACTATTATCTTTTTATCCCTACTTGTTTATAAGCTTTACTTATTTTAGGATGTATGTATGTCTATATGTGATAAAAGGGAGACTTAAGGTGTAAGATTATCTTCACTTTTGCTTGTTTTCTGAGACCCTTAATTGTGTTCCTTTCTGAGACCCTATTTTGCCTCTAGAGATGGTTTGTTAACAATTTTTCTTTTCAAGAGTGAATGTAATATGTGGTGGTACGGGGGAAATTGCAGGGCTGAGAGTTAGGAGGTGTGGATTTTAATCTAGATTCTGAAAATAATCATTGCCTTTCTGATAAGGTAATGCTGAGAATTTTCAGAGGTCTTATACAGCTCTAGAATTTTACAATTCCATAATCTCATAAATTTAATAACTTTTATTCAACCCTGAAAAAGGCTGCAACTAGAATTATAATTGCTATTTTGCAAATGATTAAAACTAAGGCAGAGGACAATTAAGTGTTTCTTTCTGAGGTCACAAAGCCAGTAAATGTCAAAACTAAATGTTGAACTAAATGTAGAACTTGTATCTCTTGACTCTTAGTTAAATGCTGTTTCCATTAGGCCACACTGTTTAGGTGTTTAAGATACCTATTCTTTCTTCATATCTCAGGTTTTTTACTAGCGCAGCATTTTCTTAAACCATAATTACGGAGACACTGATCTTGAGGGATGACCATTGAAAAAAGTCACGGTTCCACAGTGAAATAACTTTGGACACCATTTTGTGTCCGTTGTTCCCTCTTAGAAATTCAGATTGTTCTTTGGAATGTTAAAGACTCTGAAAAAAGAAGCTGATTTAACTTTGTTTAGCTTCCTACACCCCAAAATCACATTAGGCACAGAAGGCTTTCTGTAAAAAGCATCATTAGCTTCTGAGAAACTAGTTTTCCATGGGACACTGAGAAATGTTTCTGGTTTTTTAAGGGAAAAAGAAAGATCATGAAAGATCTCTGAAAAGTAAAATAGCATGATGTTAATAGAATTGCTATACAGTCATCCCTTAGTATCTGTGAGGGATTGGGTCCCCTGATGCTCAACTCCCTTGTATATATAAAATGGTATAGTTTTTGCATATAACCCACGCACATCCTCCTGTATACTTTAAATCATCTATAACTTACATATAATACCTAACACAATGTAATTGCTATGTAAATAGTTCTTACGTTGTATTGTTTAGGGCATAATGACAAGGAAAAAAATGTCTGTGTACATCAGCACAGATGCAACCATCCATTTTTTTCCCCTGAATATTTTCAAATTGTGGTTGATTGATTTCACAGATGTGGAACCCACAGATAGAGGGCAGACTGTATATACTGTTGAAACTTATTTTAGGCATGTTAACTCATTTAACAGGTTGGGTCTAATTGCTCAAGTATATTATTGTCAAACCTCTGCTTATAAGCATTTGACTTATAAGCAAACCAA